CATCAATTTGCATTCATTTGCATAAGTGCCACTACTTGAAAGCCAAACTGCTGCCACCTTTGCCTTGGGAGAGGGGGAGAGGTTGGACTGTGCCTCCTGCAATTCCCATTAGTCTTCCTGACCAGGAGGACATCTCGCACCCTCCATCCCCTGTGCTGTGTCACCACCGCTTCCCTCTCTGGTTCCTGTCACCCAGCATCCCATCTGGAGTGTCTTCGCTTCCCGTTATCCCTCCTGTTACTGATGTCTCTCCACCTGCCTCTGTGTCACCTTTGTCTTGTTCCACTTGTCTCTGTCCTCCCCATGCAGGGATGAGCTGTTTGGAGGTGTCAGGGCAGACCAGTCTCCTGGTTCCTCTGCACAGCAGCAGTTCCCTGCTCGTTGTCAGGCGGGATGATGGGGATATGCTTGATCCAGAGCATCTTATTCACTGCAACAGACTGATCATGGGCTGGGGACAAGCTCTCCCTATGCACCTGTACAGCACTTGGCAAACTTGGCCTTAACCAAGGTGTGTAGTGGGAGCTGTAATAGCCTTGGATGTGTCCTGCGTGCAGAGGATCCCTTTGGGGGCAGGTAGTGCTGCTGCCTGCATCTTCTGCTCCATCCTTCCTGCCGGCAGAGGAACCGTTCAGCTCGTGTTGTCCAATCCACCTCCCTGTAGAAGGTCTCAGTCCTGCCCCTGCAGCCCCCACTGTCTGTAGCAGACACGGGCATCATTCCCGTGGGCACTCTTGGGTTTGCTTGGTGTAGCGAAGCCCACCAGCTTAGAACTGCCTGGGTCCAGTAGAAGTCTGCTGGTGCCTAAAGGGGCTACAAGAGACCTGGAGAGGGGCTTTGGACAAGGGCCTGTAGGGACAGGCCAAGGGGAATGGCTTTAACCTGCCCGAGGGGAGACTGAGATGAGCTCTAAGGCAGAAGCTCTTCCCTGGGAGGGTGCTGAGGCGCTGGCACAGGGTGCCCAGAGAAGCTGTGGCTGCCCCATCCCTGGCAGTGTTCAAGGGCAGGTTGGACACAGGGGCTTGGAGCAAGCTGCTCTAGTGGAAGGGATCCCTGCCCGTGGCAGGGGTTGGAGCTGGAGGAGCTTTAAGGTCCCTTCCAACCCAAACCAGGCTGGGATTCTGTGACAGCGCAGGAAAGAGCAGTTAAACTTCTGCATCTCCATGGTGCTGGAGCGTGCTGCAAAAGCTCCCTCTGCCTCCCTCCTGTGGCATCTCTGCAGTTCTTTCCCCTTTGCAGCTTTTGGTTTTGGACTCTGTAAAGCATCACCCTGTGGGCACTTGGTGCAGGGTTGAGTGGTGCGTGGTGATTGATAACCTCCACGCTGACCTTTGCGGCTTGCAAATGGAGCGAGTGCTTGGATGCCCATTATCCGAGCAGCCCAAGAAGCCAAAGAGCTCTGGCAAGGCTCTTACTGCCGGAAGAGAGCAGCTTGAGTCTGTAGCGAGGGGGAGGATGGCTCAGAGTTAATGCTTCTTGCATCAAACTGTGCTCTACCCACTAAGGGCACGAATTGGAATAGATTGCTCGTTTCATTAGCTCCGAAGGTAAATGAGTGGGCTGCATCCCTACCAGAGGCACATTTAATTCAGGCTGCCAAAGGAATAGCGGGGATTAAGTGCCATTGATTTCTGACATCAGTGTTCCTACTGGGTGTATTTTGGAAGGCCGGGAAGACGCTTTTACACAGCGTTCAACCCTTTGGCACCCTCGAAGTGGCAGGAACAAGGGGAGCATTATGAAGGTGGGAGGGTTAAGCCTTCAATAATGCAGGCCATGCTGGTCAGGAATGGCTTCACACCGGTGGGTTTGGGAAGAGTAGCTGCTGCCAGGTTCGTGTTAGGAAGGAGCAAGCTGTGTCGTGTCGGTTTGGTGGGGTGGGTACATGAGATGTGTGTTTGCTTTTTTGACTACTTGAAGCAATCTACTTCATTCCCAAAGTTCTTGCTAGCTAATTCCATAGAGTGTTGTGAGGGGATGGGTGGCCTCATGGAACCAACCTGCCCTTCTCTCTGACACTTGCTGCTTCTAATAACATTTCTAGGCAGTTGGTAGCTGTTTCCCTGCTAAATGCTTTGGCACCGATGCCCATATTCAACTGAATTCTTCCCTTCAGCTTGCACGCTGTGGGGCCAGCATTAAACCTTTCATAACAGCCTTCAGATGCGTTATTGATGGGGAAAGCCAAATTCTATCTGAATTTGGAGCAGAACACAGCAGCTTAGAACTGGAGGAGCTTTAAGGTCCCTTCCAACACAAACCAGGCTGGCGTTCTATCAGTTGCCATCTGTATGGATGGCCCCACTCTGCCCCACAGCAGTAAGTCCTTTGTGGGTGTCACTGTCCTCCCCTACCTGTGATCATCCAAAAGATGCATGTGTCCTGAAGGGCTCCGAAGTGTAGGGAAGGCCTGTGGTGGGGTTCCGTTACCTTCCTGCCCTAGCTCTTCAATAGCCATCAACCATGGGAATGTGCTGAGACAGGATGGAGCCAACCTTCATCAGCCTCCTGGTGTCCAGCGTGGAGCCCTGCCTGCGCTCATCACCTCTCCTGTGCCTGGTAGGGTTGAAACCCCAGAGGCTTCTCTTTGGTCCCCAGTGCCCTTCCAGGATGGATCGCCTGTGTAAGGGAGGAACAGGATTCCTGCATCAGTCCCGAACAGATCCATGAGGGAATGTTGTGGCAGTGAATGTGGAGGGAAAAGAGAGCTAGTGGAGGGGCCCACCCTTAGCTCTTGAGGTTTTCCTTTGTTCCTTCCTTAAATGACAGTGATGGTCAGCAGCTGGCTTTGAGGGAGTCTATGAACATGTCCAGGGGAAGAATGCCTGGGATCAATGCAAAGGGAGGGGAAAAGGGTGGGAGCACAGGTGTCAGGATGCCATGGTGTTTCTGTGGCAGGAGGAGGACTGTAGCCGTGTACAGTTAGACAAATCACTGTGTATCCTCATCAGGTGCCTGTGCTTGATGGGGAGCTGCAGCCCCATTCAGAGATGATACTGTTCGTGGGACTGTCATTGCTGTTTGCTGTCTTGGTACTTACGGAAGGAAATGCCATTATCCAGGCTTAAAACAGGTCTCGATGGAGATGGCTGTAGTTTGAATGAATGGAGGATGTTTCGGGGGGAAGCTGAGCCCCATCTCCTAGGGGTCACCCTTGCACTGGTAGCTTGAGGGTGAGAAGCCTCCCTGATCCCAACTCATTGCCATGGAGCTCAGATCATCCTGGGCCTGTCTGCGGGGCAGCTCATAGAGTCATAGGATAGTTAGGGTTGGAAAGGACCTTAAGATCATCCAGTTCCAACCGCCCCCCCCCCCCCCCCGCCATGGGCAGGGACACCTCACACTAAACCATGGCACCCAAGGCTCTGTCCAACCTGGCCTGGAGCACTGCCAGGGATGGAGCATTCACAGCTTCCCTGGGCAACCCATTCCAGTGCCTCACCACCCTTAAAGAACTTCTCCCTTATATCCAATCTAAACTTCCCCTGTTTAAGTTTGAACCCATTACCCCTTGTCCTATCACTGCAGTCCCTAATGAAGAGTCCCTCCCCAGCATCCTTACAGCCCCCCTTCAGATACTGGAAGGCTGCTATGATGGAGCTTTGGGTCAAGCTATCCCGGCTGTGCCTTGAAGCACGGATGGGTCCCTGCACTATGTTACCCTAGGGTGGACAACGGGCTCAGATACAGCTCCATCATCCCAGTGAGACTTGGAATGACGCCATCAAGCCTGAATGTGCTGCGCACCTCTGTGAGAAGGGATTCCTAGTCCGTGATGTTTGAGGGACCAAGGGGACGGGGCCTGGCCTTAGTGAGCAGCTCAGGATGCTGGAGTGCTCTGTGCTTGCTGTGATGGAGCTGTTGGTTTCACAAACCTTGTTTAAGCTCTCCAGGCACGTGGTGACCTTGGGAGCATGTGACAAACCTGCAGCCAGATTCCTGTCTGTGATGGAGATGCTGAACTGGGAATTGGCAAGCTGGATTCCCACTGGCTCTGGCAGGGAGTGGTGCCAGGGCAGAGCTGGGATCCAGCCAGCCCAGTATGCCCGATGGTGTTACTCTTCACCAAAGAGCTGCTGGGATTTGTTCTTCCTGCTCACGAGCTTTGCTCAGCAGCTTCTCTGCTCAGTGGGGAGAGGAGACCCTGTGGGATTGGTTCATCAAAAGGACATATATATGTGGGAAAATAACCCCAAATCAGTGCCTGGGAGCAGATCCAGAGTGTTAACGTTCCAGAGGCCTTGGAGCACTTACACTTGTCCCCAGGTAGAGCTCTTACCTGTTCATTTAACTTTACTATAGTGCCTGTGGCAGCTCCTCACAGTGGAGGCTGGAGGAGCAATTGCAGATCACCTTATCTGGGCCCAGCATCAACTCTGTGCATGCTGCTTTAAATAGATATGTGTACTTAATAGCTATTGTCCTTATTGCTTGTGCTGAGGAAGGCAGCTGGTAATGGAATGGCAAGAGAGGCTGGATTTCCCTAAAGCATCAGGATCTCTTCCAGTGGCAGAGCTTGGGTTGAGGGGGAATCAGCAGTGGCAGCGCCTCTGCACCTTCACAGGGAACAGCTTCTTCCTTAGGTCTAGCCTGAGCTTCCCTGTTTCACTTTGAACCCATCACCCCTTGTCCTGTCACTGCAGTCCCTGATGAAGAGTCCCTCTCCAGCATCCTTGTAGTGCTCTTCACACACTGGAAGCTGCTCTGAGGTCTCCACGCAGCTTCTCTTCTCCAGGCTGAACAGCCCCAGTGTTCTCAGCCTGGCTCCATGCTGGAGGTGCTCATTCCCTCATGGCCTCCTCTGGCCTTGCTCCAGCAGCTCCACGTCCTTCTTGTGTTGTCTTCCTTACGTAGCTCAGTCACTCAGCCGGTGGGTGCAGAGTAGCTTGAAATCCTTGCACCTCAAGGAAGAGCACAACCCCTCCAGCCTGGAGTCCTGAGCCAGGCTGACTGCCCCCTCCAAAGGCACTGACTCTCTGCTCTCTTTGGTTGCCTTCCAGGTGCTGAAGGGCTGCAAGAAGCTGAACCTGTCTGTGCACTCGGTGGGCCGCATCCCGGGGGGGTACGTCACCAACCACATCTACACGTGGGTGGACCCGCAGGGCCGCAGCGTGTCCCCGCCGGTGGGGCTGGCGCAGCACCAGCACAGCTCCCTGCGCAAGGACAGCGAGAAGAGGAGCCACCTCCAGCTCCTGCAGGAGGGGGATGAGAAGAAGGTGAGCACAGGGATGTGGTGCTGCCCTGTGGGTGCCAACCGTTGCACTGCTCGTTCCTGTGATACCTCCATGGGGATAGCCTGTCTCTCCTCCTGGATATACTGGGTACTGGTTTTACCCTTGGTCTGTAGCTTTCCCCCTGTCTCCCACAGGGAGTCACAGAATCCCAGCCTGGTTTGTGTTGGAAGGGAGCTTAAAGCTCATCAGTTCCAATCCATTGCCATGGGCAGGGACATCTTCTAATTCCCAGTACTCTTACTGTGTAAACTGGCTTTACTATGAGTGAAGCCAGCACTTCAAGTTCAAGCTTCAGTCCTGACTTGAGGGATTTAGTGTTTCTTCTCCCTTGTGCTTCCCATGCCCAAACAGACCCAGAGTCTTGTAGGTGCAGAGCAGCACTGCCTCTTGCACTGGAGGCAGAGGCTGGAGGGACAGACTCTCTCCGTGATGATGGATAGGGAACCTGTTAGTCTTGTACAACCAGGACATGGTGTGGCCTCACTGGTGGTCATGGGGTACTGGCATATGGGTGAGCATTGTGCTTTTCCCAAAGGCACAATGTTGCTTGGAGTCTATTTCCATTCTGTTACCCTGAGATCTCTTCCCTGTGAGGGTGCTGAGGCGCTGGCACAGGGTGCCCAGAGAAGCTGTGGCTGCCCCATCCCTGGCAGTGTTCAAGGCCAGGTTGGACACAGGGGCTTGGAGCAAGCTGCTCTAGTGGAAGGTGTCCCTGCCCGTGGCAGGGGTTGGAGCTGGAGGAGCTTTAAGGTCCCTTCCAACACAAACCAGGCTGGGATCCTATGATTGTATGCCCAAAGCATCCTCATCTCTGCCTGGAGGGGTCTGCAAGCTGGAGCTTTCCACCTCAGCCAGAGAGGAAACAAATTTAACCCAGGCTGAGGCAGTTTCTGATGTAAAATTCATGTGGGTGCCAAGGGAGAAGGCCCCATTACTTTAAGGATAAGAGAAGAGCAGCTGTGGCTGCCTTGCTGCTGTCCACTACCCCTCCATGTCACCTTGATACAGCAGACAGCAACTCTTTGAAGCTGGAGGTGGGTGTTTCTGTGCACATTGTTCCTTTAGTCCTTGCTGGGTATTGACATGAAATGCTTAGAAGCCTGTACGTGTGTCCTGTACCTTGTGTGGCACCGCACAGCCCCTTCCCGACAGTCCCTGCAGAGATGGGATTCCACGTGCCCTGGCTGTCCCTGGGCACCTTGGCTGTGCATGGACCAGTTACCACCCCAGAGCACCCTCCTCTGGGCTGCTCCTGAGCTCCTCAGGGGGTGCACAGGAAGAATCCACCTGATCTTTGCAAGTTAAAAGAGCTTTAATTACTGCAGCTGAATCTCCTTTGGAAGGAAATGAAGCCAGGTTGAATGAAGGCCACATTAAACTTTGAAGAGCAGCCATGCTGGGCTTGCCCGCTGTTGGATGCGCTCACACCCAAGGTGTGAGGGGTCCCCAGCTCCAAGTGTTCCTATTCTAGCTGAGCCAGGCTGTGGGACCTTGGGTCACTGACCCTTCCACTCCTTGCTCTGCCTTAAGCTTGCTTCCAAACCCAGCTCCTCCTCACAGTCCTGCCCATTGGTGTCAGTGTGCAAGGCTCGGTGACAATAACCTCCACTCCTGAATTCCCATTTGCAGGACCTGCAAAACCCAGTGGATCCTACAACTTGCATCACAGAATCATAGAATAGTTTGGGTTGGAAGGGACCTTACAGCTCATCCAGCTCCACACCTTCCACCAGAGCAGCTTGCTCCAAGCCCCTGTGTCCAGCCTGGCCTTGAACACTGCCAGGGATGGGGCAGCCACAGCTTCTCTGGGCACCCTGTGCCAGTGCCTCAGCACCCTCACAAGGAAGAGCTTCTGCCTTAGATCCAACCTGAACTTCCCCTGTTTCAGTTTGAGCCCATCATCCCTTGTCCTGTCACTACAGCCCCTGATGAAGAAGACGAAGGCCACCAGACCCTTCTGTACCCAGAGGTGCCTTGCTTTGGTCCCCATGAGCAAGCTTGCTGCAGTGAGGAGAGCCTGACCTGGCTGGTAGATTTGAGAGGGGTTATTTGCTGTGACTGCCCGTGTCATTTGCTCAACTCCTGCTTCAGGGCATGAATTAGCTGAGCTGCTTTGTCCTGATGCACTGTGGACCATCAAGAGATTCAAATGTGTCCTAGAGCACAGGAACAGCCTGCCTCTAGTTTTTTCCCCTCTTTATTTGTATGTGTGGGGTTGTATCTATTTAACTGTTGAAAGTGGGGTCACTCTGTTCACAAACATCATGTAAATAAATGCCACGTACCCCTGGTGAATTCAGCCCAGTCGACCGCAATCGACAGGTACTGCTGCGATCAGTTGGTATCTGAACAGCTTTAGATTGTGAGCAAAGGGGTGGGATTAGTTATTTCCCCCTTTATTTCTAATTGATCTGATTGCCCTAGAATATGCATGCAAAAGCTTTCAAACAGGGAAAATACAGAAGAGATCAGACTTCAGCCCTGCAGCTGAAGTCATGTAAACCAGGCAGGTTTTAATGCATTGAGATGCTGCTGTAATTAACCTGATGTTTCTGGCTTTACCAAGGTTAGATTCAAGGTTGGTGGAGGCATCCTGCATGCACCAGGCTATAGAGATATTCTGCCTAGCCACCTTTTCCTCCATACAGCTGCTCTGTATGTGAAACAAGTTTGCTTATCTGTAGGCAGAAGCCTTCATTATCGAAGGGCTTGAAATGGAAACTGCTGCTGCTGACGTGTGTGTGATGGGGTAACCGATCCGCCTGGTAGAGGAGGGATCCATGTACCTGTCCCGGGGCTGGCATACACCTGGTCCATGGATTTACACTGTGTTTTAACTGGGAATGCTGGGATTCTTTCACTGTCGAGTGGAAGCCATTATGGGGATTTGGGAAGTTAGCAAAGCCCATTGGCTTTGTTCTCACTATCCTGGTGTCCCCAACATAAGAAGGACATGGAGCTGTTGGAACAAGTCCAGAGGAGGCCACGAGGATGATCAGGAGACTGGAGCACCTCCTGTATGGAGACAGGCTGAAAAAGTTGGGGCTGTTCAGCCTGAAGAAGAGAAGCTGCATGGAGACCTCATAGCAGCTTCCAGTGTCTGAAGGGGGCTGCAAGGATGCTGGAGAGGGACTCTTCATCAGGGGCTGTAGTGATGGATTTTTCGTCATGGAAAGCATGGGAATGTGCAACAACTTACATACCTCCTTCGTCGCCGCATTCCCTTTAATTCTTGCATAGACTCACAGAATGGTTAGGTTGGAAAGGACCTTAAGGTCGTCCAGTTCCAACCCCCTGTCATGGGCAGGGATGCCTCACACGAGACCATGTTGCCCAAGACTCTGTCCAGCCTGGCCTTGAACACTGCTGGGGATGGAGCATTCACCGTGTGCTTGCTGTGGCGGGTTGAAGGGATGACTTTGTTCCCTCAGGTTTGCTGTGATTCATTTCCTAACTAAGGGCAGCCTTCCCTGTGGTCAGAATCAGTGGATCCAGAGTTTCCTCAGTGCCCATCTCCCCATAGGTGAAGTAGCCAGTGGTGGTGGCCAGTAATAAGCAGGATTTGTATGATGTGTCCAGTGAAGTCCTCTGATGCTTTCACCACATCAGGGACCACTTGTGCTGTGGATTGTCCTTGATGTCCTTCTGGGATCAAGCGTTTATTCCATTAACAGCACTTTGGAGACCATCAGCCAGCAGAAACTTGTAGGTGCTGCTGAGCTGGGAGGAAAATGAACTGTGCAAAATGCTCTGCAAGCGTTGGGCTGCTAATTCTCTGTGAAACACCATTTCATCGGCTGGATCGTGGCTGTAATGTGCTTATTGCCAGGGGAGCTGCTTATTCCTTTAAGCTTTTGGTGCAGCAGAAGAAGGGAAAGATACACAAAGAGAGTGTGAGCATCCCCGTGCCTCCAGGCAGTTCTGTTTCCACAAGTAGCTGTTGTTATTAGAAAAGAAGACAAATTTGATCTATGGTAACACTGCATGGCTTAAACATTTGAGGCACTAATGGTGCCTACTTGAGCATGAAGGAGAAGAGATGCAGGAGAGATAAGGAAGGATTTCTTTCTATTAGATTCTAATGACATTTGCAGAGTGAAGTGATAGAGCTCACCACATCTCTCACTGTTTGCTTGCTGGGTTTGCTCTGCTTTACAGCAAGAAGAATGTTCAGTGTGCTCCGGGCTATGTGGTTTGTTCCCTGTGGTGACTGGGGTATGTGGCATGAGCCACTGGTCCCCAGTTCATTGGATCCTTCTGTCTGGAGCAGCATCCCAGCAGGCTTAGGCCAAAATGTGTTCCTCGGGTCAGAGCTCAACTCAAGCCATGCTGGTGGGCACCGGAGCATCTCCTTGTTATTGCAGGGATTCTATTGCAGGAAGGCATCTGCGCTCCTGGGGGTTGCTGCCAGTGGAACTGTGACAGCCAAGTCCTCAGCATGGCCTCACACATCCTGCCCTGGATGGGAGGGTTGGTGTGGAGGCAGCAACGATGGATGCAGCACCCCCAGCAGCCACGACTGCTGCTCCCAGTGCCTCCGTTAAAGGCTGTGAGCCGGCTCTGCGCTCCTGTGAGCTGTGCCTGCATGTTTGCAGGATGTCTAGACATCAGCCAGTGGGGTTTCCTTGGTGAGCAGGAGGAGGATGAGCCCTGCGAGCCTCCTCAAGTGTTGTTTGTGTTGTGTGGTAGCACTAATGGCACGGCAAGAGCTGTCAGCATGGGCGAAGCCTTCCCATGCGCTCCTGCAGCTGTGTGCTGAGCCGTGCTGATGGAGAGTAATTCTTGTCTGGAAGCGCTTTTTCTGATGGTAAAATTGCATCTATCAACAGGTAATTGCATAAACCCAGAGAAATGAAATCCCGTGTAAAAGCCAGCTCAGAGAAAATGCCTTCTTGATGGTGGCATTCATTTCCCCTCGATTCCCTGCTACAGGAGGTGGCAGATGCTTCAGCGTTGAAATTGAAATTAAAAGCATGACCTTGATCTTCCCAATGAGTCTGTTGTAGCCCGGGGCTGGACGCAGCCCTGGTACTGTGTAGGGGAGGAGGTGGGGATGGGCAGCGTTGGTGCTACAGCGAGCCTGGAAATATCTTCCCTTCCCAGCAGGGCACAGGGGGTGCCTTGCATGGGGGTCCTCAAGGATGCCAGAGGGTGCAGATAGTGCTGTGCTTGGGACAGGTAGCACCACGGTGCCAACCCTACTGAGCACCACCTCTGCCCCGGCTGTGGGAACAGCCTCTTCCCTAGCAAACAGTGGGCAAAACAGCCTCCCCTCTTATCCCTAAGCCTTTAACATGGAGTGACTCAGCCTTTGCTTCATCCTGCAAGCAGCTTATCTCTGCTTTGGCTCCTCAGGGCCTTCTCTCTGTTCCTCCTTGCTCCGCAGCCTGCTCAAGCCAACCCCCCTGCCTGCAGCCCTCGCTTTATTCCTCAGCTCTTCCCTAATTCTGCAATTTGTCAGGAAGCCAAATGCTCCCAGAGCTGTTTTTTCCTTGGTCCCTGCTGCTGCTGCCACTCTTTTCCCAACAGCCTCTGTTGCTATTGTGATTTCCACAGGGTTTATTCCAAGAGACGCAGGTATCAGCTGATTAAGAAATGCAATTAAGCCTCAGCAACCCAACCTTGTGGCATTGCCAGCAGCGATGTGGGTTTAACTGGTACTCGGGTTTATTCACACAGCTCTGTGTTGCTGGAAGGTCCTTTCAGCCTCTGGTCTTTGGGGCTGGATCGTTGCTTTCTGCCCCTCACAGGCTGGGTTTGCTGGGATGTGTGTAAATGAACCAGCTCGCGCAGCAGCACCTCGGGTTTGCAGGGAGTATCTCTTACTCCATCTGATGGTATTGGGGTGGGGAGAGCAGCTTCTCAGCTTACCAGCACCTTGGGATAGTGTTAAAGGGAAATGTAAATGCCTTCATGCAGAGCTGCCGTCCTGCTGACTCCAGTGAAGTGCTGCAGTATGATCTGGCTCTTCAGGGCAGGATAGGTGGAAATACTGTCCTGGCATTATTAAATAGGGATCATAAAGCACATGGCTGCGTGGAGGAGCCCTGGGAGCCTTCTGTGCCTTCAGCTGAACCCACCCTGAGGCCAAGTACCTCTAAAGCATCCTTCAGGCAGCCCCGAGTGGTTGTCTGAGCACAGGGAGATGAACAAGAGATGCACTGAGGCGCTGGCACAGGGTGCCCAGAGAAGCTGTGGCTGCCCCATCCCTGGCAGTGTTCAAGGCCAGGTTGGACACAGGGGCTTGGAGCAAGCTGCTCTAGTGGAAGGTGTCCCTGCTGTGGCAGGGGTTGGAGCTGGAGGAGCTTTAAGGTCCCTTCCGGCACAAACCAGGCTGGGATTGTATAAACCTTCTCTTCTTCTTCCTCTGCATTGCAGCGGGGAGGTTTAGAGCTCCATCTGGGGCTGTGGTTGTCTGGAGGTACCTGCAGAAGGGCTTTGTCCCAGTGTGTGGGGAGCTGGGGGCAGCAGGGGAGACACCACATAAATGACTGTTCCTGGTCTTCTGCAGGTGAATCTGGTCCTGAATGAAGGGAAATCCCTGGGGCTCATGATCCGAGGAGGGGCAGAGTATTCCCTGGGCATCTACATCACTGGTGTGGATAAAGGCTCTGAAGCAGAGAGCACTGGCTTAAAGGTAAGAACAACCCCGCAGTGGGCTGGGATGGGAGATAGATTGAGTTTCATGAATTGAGGATGCAGGGCCACGTTAGTGGCAGTTCCTACCCCTTGTCCCAAGCCAAACGGGTCTCAGTGGAGAGGTGAGAGTTGGTTTCCTGGAGCTGGCTTTTCAGGGCAGGTTCTTTGGATGTTTTGGATATTAAACCTTTAGGGAGCAAGGTGGTTGTGCAGGGAGGACGCTTCTGGAGCAGATTGTGCCTTGTCTTCTGCCTTAGCACAACCCCACACCTGGTTTCTCCCCTTTGAGACAGCTTGGGGATGGTTTTGATGTAGATACCTGAGTGCAGCCTGGACTGGAAGTGAAGAAAATCACTGCTACCTCCCTGAACTGGCAGGGAAGAGTTTGCTGTTAAAGATCCTGGTCCTGTGTCCTCTTCCTGCATCTCGCATCCAAAGCCCTGATGTTTGGAGCTAGTGTTTTGCACAGGGTGCAGAGCATGTGTTGAGCTGCCGTGGTGAGAGGAGGCCGAGCTGCCTGTGCCAGTGTCCTCCTGCAGCACTGGATTCACAAGCATCATGTCCTAAAAGGCAGAAACAGCAGGATCACCCTCAGGGATAGAGCAAAGCTCATCTATCAGCAGCCTGGCTTGGTGGGACCTCCGGCTATGTCAGGCTCCCTCTGTAGTCTAATAGGTTCCTACAGGGTGTCTGTGGGGTGACTGGGTCCTTCTGAGGCTGCCCTGGTCCAGAGTTGGCTACAGAGACCTCTTGTAAAGCGCAATCTTGCATCTCTTTCATCCCACCATGTACACACATCATCTCCAAGCTCCTCCAGCCTTCCCGCTGTACCAGGCCTCAGAACAGGATGGGACTGGGACCTCAGCTGTTCCTGCAGGGTCATTTGGGTTAAAATCATATATGTTCTAGGGGGTTCACCAGCCAAATAAGTAGAAAAGGGAGCTGTTGGACTGTGCTGCTCATGAATGGAGCACATTTGAAACACGGACACCTCAGGTTGCCGTGTTTCATCACTCAGGGTTTCTCTTCATGTGTGGTTTTGCTTCCTCCAGTGCAATCCCATGGGCTCTGAGGGACGGTTCTTTCCCTGCTCCTTGTGTCAGTCAAGACTCAATAGATGTTAAACTCCTCTGAAATGGTGCTGGGCTGCTGGGCATTGGTGTTAATCCAGTCTGATCCCCTCTCTGCATTCTGGTGGTCCATTTCTCCATTGATCAGCCCTGAAGGGTCTGGGGCTCAGCCTTCAGCTTTGCTCCAGTGGCCCCATAAAGTCACTTAAAGCTGTCAAAGCTGATAGCATGAGGTGTGTGGACAGTGTGGTGCAGGGCTGTGATTTAGGCTGGAACAGATAGTCTTGTTGCTCAGGTTGCTGTGGCACACAACATTGCATCTAACTGGGCACTGAGATCACCAGTGCTTTATAGACAAGCCATTGGTGGGGGTAAGGCAACCAGTTCTGGACTTAATCATCCTCTGCTGGCTCCTGTTTCTTTCTCCTGACTCTTCTTGACACCAAAGGGAAATGCTGAGCTTGGAGTTTTGGATCGGTCCAAGTCTTAACATCTCTCTCAGGTCCTTAGCAGGGAAATCATGGAATGCTTTGAGTGGGAAGGGCCCTTAAAGCTCCTCCAGCTCCAACCCCTGCCACAGCAGGGACCCCTTCCACTAGAGCAGCTTGCTCCAAGCCCCTGTGTCCAACCTGGCCTTGAACACTGCCAGGGATGGGGCAGCCACAGCTTCTCTGGGCACCCTGTGCCAGCGCCTCAGCACCCTCACAGGGAAGAGCTTCTGCCTAAGAGCTCATCTCAGTCTCCCCTCTGGCAGGTTAAAGCCATTCCCCTTGGCCTGTCCCTACAGGCCCTTGTCCCAAGCCCCTCTCCAGCTTTCCTGCAGCCCCTTCAGGCACTGGAGCTGCTCTAAGGAATCAGCTCAATTGTGGTAACATTCAGTGGAAGCTCTAAAACCCACAGAAGTGTTCAGTGCCTGGGAAGTCAACAGGAACTTCCCAGTGACCCAGCAAGGCTGGGTTGAGCTCCCATTGAATGGTACCACAATTCTTCCATTGCAGAGTGCAGTGAATGACCTGGAAATCACATTTACCCACCAGTTCTTCCCTCCTGGTGCTGTCACATCCCTTCCACCACCACCTGGAGCAGCAACCTACGCCCAGCCATCTCCAACAGCAGAGCATTAAACGTGGCAGGGGTCGGAACTGGATGAACTTTTAGGTCCCTTCCAAGCCAAACCAGTCTGGGATTCGATGAATCCGTGATAAAAGGCCTTTCTTTATCTCCAGACCTCCCAGCAGCTCTAAGCTTACAGCCTGCAGCACACACAAACCCAGGTGGGAAATGGTGCATATCTGAGATCACATCAAGGCTGGCATTCAGGAAAGTTCCATCCTGCTGGCACACACACACACACACACACACACAGAGGGATGAAGCTGTGTGCTGCTGCTGCGACTCCTGTGTGTGCTGGTTTGCAGTGGAACCTTGGCTGTGCTGAGCTCACAGGTGTGGGGTTTGAACCAAGGAAAGCAGCAGAAACAGGGGCTTGGGTCAGTGTGGGAGCAGTAACCATGAAATGAACAGAAAGAACTGGAGAAAACCAATGCAACCACTTCTTCTTTTCCTGCCTTTTCAGGGCTGTAGGAGATGGAGCCTGGCACTGGCACAGGGTCTGTGCTGGGGACAAACATCCTGTGACTCTGCAAAGTCACCCATGCAGCACGTGGAGCAGCTCCAGCCAGTCCCACTATTCCCAGCTCTGCTGGGGAGAAACAAATTGTCCTGTGCCTTTTATCATCTCTGTCTTTAATCCTCACGTCCCAGAGCGCTGTCCCTGCTGCCTTTCACTGTGACCTTGCACTGATGCTTGCACTGACATCCCCAGGAGATGCTGTGTACCCTGGGAGGTGCAGGCAGAGTGGTGCAGGGTGGCCAGCAAGGGGTGACCTATGGTCTGGGAGAGAAGGATGCTCTGCAGGGAGCCCCCAGCATCATCTCTCACTTCTTGGTGCCCTCAGAAACACTCGGCCATCTCCATAGGATGCTCCTTGTCCCTGCTTGCCCAAGTGACCTTCTCCTATGGTAGGGTCCAAAACCCCTGTTGGAGCTTGGAGCAACCAGGCTGGGATTCTCCGATTCTGCCAGACTTTTAGTGAAAACCTTCTTGCACCTGTGGCACCAAATCTGCATTTTTGAATGTTTTAATAACAAGTTCCACATTTCCCTTAAATTTTGATGGAAGGGCCGTCGATGTGGTGTCGAAAACCAGTCAAAACCAAGGCAGCTTCTCTGAGGCCCAAAAGCTCAGCTGGCTTCTGTCTCCCACAGAACCAGGGTCTGAGCAGTGTGTCGCAGAGGAGACCTAGTCCTGCCGATGCCCGTTTGGGTACCACTGCATCTCCATGGCCACGAGCAGAGCACTTCAGGTGCCAGCAGAGAGCAGGCTGATCTCTGCAGTCAAGCATTAAACATTCATACTCTTGGCCTTGGCTTTCTTCTGTTTATTCATGATGAAACTTCAGGTTCTGTCCCCACTGACATTCACAGCGATGCCAGTGCAGGAGCTGAGCTTGTTCTGCTCATCCCCATTTCTTCCTCCTTCATTCCTTTTGCAGGTCTGTTTTGTCAGGATGTGGGTCTTTAAGCCAATTTCTCCTCTTCTTGACCTTTACATCAGAAATCGCAGATTTCGGGTGGCTTGCTTTGAACAAACAACTCAATATTGAGACGCCAGCACAAAGGCTGGGGTAAAAAGAGGCCACCGCAATCAGTTTATGCCTATATATACATGAGTGAGTAAAAGAGAGACTGTAAATAGGAAGAGGTGAATGATTTTACGTCATTGGTTTTAGTCACAAAGCTGCCTCTCGAGAAGGGGCTCGTCTTTAGAGGTCTGCACGTAGGCAGGAAGCTATAAAAAGCCTCGTGGCTGCTTCGAGTCTGGGGAATCGGCTGAATAGGGAGCGGTGCAATGAGGATGTGCGTGGTTGCGGTGCGCAGATGGAGCCCGGAGGCGGTGTGGAGTGGTCCTTCAAACCATGTCACCCTGATGGGGACAGGCGGTGCTTCAATGGGAGGCCAGCACAAACCAGTGCCTACCCCAGGAGCCAGCCTCCTCTGCTTGTGTGCTTCCATTTCCCATTTGCATCTGCTTTGTTCCACATCCTTGTGCTGCAAGGTTTGGGGAAAAGAACATGTTTTCGACAGCACTGAACCCACTGTTCCCTTGCCTTGCTCCCGCATAAGGATCCTTCCAACAGGCTGTATTGGCCTCATTGGATGTGAGTTATCTGCCCCAACCCTGGGGAAGCTGATTATAACCTCTTTAGTTTTCTGCAAGTCTTAATTTGGACATTTCCACTTTTTCTTGCCCATAGTTTCAATTTCTTAAGGTCTCCTTTTGGTAATTCCTTGTGCTAAAGGGAGAATCCTTCCACTTCAGGAGTACCCATAAGTAATTTAACCTCTCTCCTAGCACATTAGTAGCATTTAATAAGACTCATGCTGGTGCCAAACCATTTGGCATCCCATTAGCCCCGTTATTCCCAGCTCAATTTGGTGTCATTTAGCATTAATTCACTTTAAAAAGCTCTCACCCACCTCTCTGTGTGACTGAATTCCTCCCAGAGCCAATTCTGATCAGTTTAAAGAGACTTCAGGTGCTCACAACGCTTGCCTTGAGCCCATTCGTTTCTCTTGATTGCACCTCCTGTTCTCTCTGGCCCCAGGAAGAGAAGGAGGCGAGGCTGTCATTTGGCTCTGTTGTTTCTGCTCTCTGGTTCTTGTCAGTCACCTTTCACATGTCCTGTTCAGCCTTTGCCTTTCAGGGTAGATTTTTCCTTAAGAAATGAGAATAATCCCATTTTCAGAGCTGATGCTGTTCCCTTTCCTTTCCTGGCTGTTTTCTGCAGGGAGGGCTCTCGCTGCTGCTGAAGGAAGGCACAAGAAAGCCCAACAATGCTTATTTTGCACATCCCGACTCAAACACAGGTCCTAGGACTAACTCTGAGCCTGCTGCAGAGAATCACAGAAGGGAATCATAGATTCCAGGCAATTTCTCCACCTCTTGTTACATTTCCATCAGGAGCTGGGTGCTCGGGGGCAGGAATGTGCCCACAGCAAATAACGTGCCAGGGTCAACTCTTGCTTTCACAGATGGTTCTTTTGCACCTGTGCAGTTTTGCGTTACCTTCCCAATTGTCCTTGACTTTGGAGGGGTAAGGGGATAAGGAGGGGGGAAGTAATTATTATCTATGTTAATTAGCAAAACCAATCCTTTCCAGCTCCAATAGGAGCCTCTCATCAAGATAGGTAGAGGTGGTCCTGTGCTGGGCACTGTGCTGAGCACAGCTGGAGCCTGAAGGACAGATACGGGTGAAGTAGCTTGTCCAGGGCCCCTCTGCTCTCCCTGTTATGGCTTGTCAGGTTCCTTTTGGTCCTCTCTTGAAAGGAGAAACTAAAGGAAGGCTGTTAGATCTGTATAATGTGAACAAAATAAATAAGGACATTTTAATCCCTGATCTGGAAAACTATTAAAGATCCATACTCACAATAATAGTATCGAATCGGACTTGGGTTTTCACTGTTTGATGCTGCAGTGAGCCTGATGCTCCTCATTTGAGTAGCAAAATCCACTCCAGTGGATTGCCCAGTGAATCAGAAAGACCTGAGGACTGATTCTTATTGCACTGCATGCGTGTTTCTCGTGGCAGTTGAGGCACTTGAGTCATCTCCTCTCCCTGTAGTGTTGGTGCTCAGCAGTTTTCACATTGTCAGCTTAGACCCAACAGAGCTCGCAGGGATGTGGAGTCTGATGATGGGGATGCTCTCATTTGGGTCACTTGTCTTTCCCTGGGCTCCTTCCCGTGTCTTGGTCTCTGTTACCAGCTCAGACTGCCTTTGGCTCCCTTTCTGCGCTGAAAGCATGAGAGACTGAACAGTGCTTGGTGAGGGAAAGCACTGCTAAGCAGCAGTTAACCATCAGTGTGTTATCAGTGTTAGACTACAGCACTGCAGCAGCCACTGGGAAAATTAACCCTATCCCAGCCAACATCAGGACACCGCCTTTGCTGGAGCAGTCATGGAATCACAGAATGGTTTTCTCTTGGGTTGGAAAGGACCTTAAAATCATTGATTTCCAGCCCCCCTGCCATGGGCAGGCGATGGATCCCGGGTGCTTTATGCTGGTGGTGCTCCTGGTGTTCGCTTTCACCCCAGCAAAGTCCTGGGTAGTACTGGTGAAAATTGGGTGGCAGCAGTCACAGCCACCCCATAGACTTGGCTTCTCCCTGGAGTAAGGGAACTAATCCCAGTCCAGGAGTGAGCTGAGAGAATGGTGTTGACTCTCCATGTAGTTCTATTAGACTTAGGAATTCTCCCCATTCCCTTTCATCTCCTCCTCCGAGAGGGAGGTGAGGGACTTAACTGATGCCTCATTCTGTTTGCACTGCAGCACAAAGGGAATAAAACAGTTTTGACAGAGCTGAACAGAGCCTGTGCTTGAGCAAAGCTATGGAAGAGCAGTTTCAAAGAGGTGGCTGTGAGGAGCAGGTTGAATTGTGCTACGGGAGCGAGGAGGGCTGGCACTGAGAGCCCTAGAGCAAAGGGAAAGAGGACATGGGGTGCTCTATGGGTGCTGTGTCCTGAGTGTGGCCAGGCTGTCAGGGAAGGCCCCACTGCAGCATGAAAGCTCTTGGGAGGAGCTGGGGAGGAAATAGGAGGAGAGATGAAATCCAGCTCTCTCAGCTCCTACAGTACTGCTTGGAGGCTGAGGTGGGACACTCGAGTTGAACCCTCCCTCCGGCACACAGAGACCTGGGTTTGGGGCTTCCACAGATGGTCCCTGGCCTCCCACATTGACAGGAGGGGTTGGGGCTGGAGGATGAGATGTTCTCTGGGGGTTGTTACAACCAAACGTCTGTAGATGCAGTTAATGGGGGAGACTGGGCAGACTGGTCTGGTTTGGGATCCTTCATAGGCTCCTCCAGGCTTCACTGGTCAGCTTGAGTGCTTGGTCTCCAGCCACCAGCACTTGGCCCATCTCCCTCACTGGTCCCCCCAGTTTCTGTGTCCCCAGTTGGAGGTGGGATGGACGGAGCAGCTCCTCCCTGGTGGGATTGGAAGCCATATCCGTAGCAGGAAAGCCCCCAGGCCATGGCAGCCTCACTGCATCCTCACTCCGCAGGTTGGAGACCAGATCCTGGAGGTGAATGGGAGGAGCTTCCTCAGCATCCCCCATGACGAGGCCGTGAAGCTGCTCAAGTCTTCCCGGCACCTCATCATGACGGTGAAGGACATCGGGAGGCTGCCCCATGCCCGCACCACTGTGGATGAGACAAGGTGGATAGCGAGCTCCCAGGTGGGGGACACCCTCGTCACCTCAGCAGGGTACGTGCTTGGTGCACCCCATGCAGGTTGGTTATCAACACAGAGCTCCTCTGTGGTGGACACAGTCACCAAGGGGTGCGTGGAGCTCCAGGACCTGGAATGTACTGGGTACTGTGGAGCTCCAGTACCCGGAATGGTGGCAGCCAGATGCGATGCAATGTGCGCGGGCACCCTGTCCATGGGAGCACCGTGGCTTCTCAGACATGTGGCCTCCATGTGTGGGGCTTAGGAGACAGCATCTCTGGCCTGGAAGGCGGATCAGGGCTTTAGAGCACACTGCTGCCCCTTCCCTGTTCCCTTACGGGCACAGAGAGGGGAGAACATCACAGGTCTGGAGCCAGGCTCAATGCAGTGAGTGATGGGCACGCTCTGCTCGGTGCTAACTGCTCTTCTCCCTCCTCGCAGGGCAGTGGGTGACCGTGCTGCGGAGGTGACAGCCAGGGTAAGAGATACAAGTCCTTCCTGGTACCTTGGCAAAAGAAATCACCATTCTTGCCCCCTGTTTTCCATGGGAGGGAGGGATTTGTGTTCCTGGCTTGAAAGGGATGCTGGTGCTATGAGGTTTAACTGGCTCAAGCCTTTCTCCTCCCCACTTCATGTTGCCAGCTGTGTTTCTACAAGCAGTGCCATGATCCCCTCTCCTGTGCCACTGGTGGGTCTGCAGCACATCTGGTGCCTCCAGCCTGAGAATGGTCACATTGACAGGCAAGGACCCCTGCACCCCACAGAGGTGACTCTGATGCCTTCTGCCTGGCGGCTGCCTCTGGGCCCTGCCAGCTCCTGGGGTCATTCCCGCCTGGAAGCAGAGCTGCAATGCCAGCAGGGCTTCTCTCAGCACCTCCTCGCAGAGCTCCTGTCTTTGAAATGGAAATGCAGCAGCGAGGTTTCACAGGTGGCTCTCAGTGATAACAGCTCTGTGCTGTTCCGTGCCTTGTTCACTCCTTGCAACGTGTCCAGGATAGTCAGGGTCTTGGCTCCGTATCCCTCTGTGGGCTCTGCCAGCACTGCCTGGGAGGGGAGCAGCAAGGACCTCCCCTTAGAAACCCCTCTCCAAGGCAGAAGCCTTTCATCCGCAGCCTGGTTTGTCTCTCCCTTTGGTTCCCAGTAGCTCTTTCTTCACCAGGCTCTGCTTTAAGCTTGCAGCGGGGGTAAATGTGCCTTTTCCACAAGGTGGGAAGCTTGCCCTTCCTCCTGGCCCCATTTCCCCAGCTCTGCCAGGAAGGGAATGCAGCCTGCTATTGAATCAAGAGCTGGCCAAGGGACAACTTGTGAGCAGAGCCCTGAAGGTGCTTTGGTTATTCTGCATAAACTGGCTCTGGAGTTACAGGGACAAGTGACACTGAGCGAGCAGCTATGCTGGTGAAGCCTTGTGGACACCTCCCTCTGGTCATTTTGGAAGCATTCCCCTTCCATTCCCTTTGGTACAGGCAGTTGGGTGAGTGCAGCGGCCTGTAATGCTAGGATGGGGCTGGCAGCAGAGCCCAGGGCGAGGGGCTGTCCCCGCTTCCCTCCTTTCAGCCGATTCCTTGGCATCCCAAGCCAAAGCCTCTCTCCTGTCTCCCGCAGCCCGTGTTCTATCGGGGCCTGGCCGGCTCGCAGGTGACACTGAGCACCATGGTGAACCAGACCCGTGTCATGCTGGAGGAGCAGGCACGGCACCTCCTCAACGAGCAGGAGCGGGCCACCATGGGCTACTACCTCGATGAGTACAAGGAAGGCAACATCTCCGTGGATGCGCTGGTCATGGCGCTCTTCGAGCTACTCAACACACACGCTAAGGTGAGGCCCTCACCGTGCTCCGGGATGGTTCCTTGTTCCTGGTGGACTGAGCAGAGCCATTGGCACAGCAGATAAGTCTCCAAGGTTGTCTGCTCAGGGACAGTGGTGAGGGTGGAAGGCAAAATCCAGATGTAGGGCACTATGGGGGTTAGGGGCTGGTGTTTAGTAGCAGAGGAGCTTCTGGTAAAGGTTAGGACCAAACCTCCTCATGGACTACGTGGAATGGGTTGGGTTGTGTTGGAAGGGACCTTAAAGCTCGCCCAGCTCCAACCCCTGCCACGGGCAGGGACACCTTCCACTAGAGCAGCTTGCTCCAAGCCCCTGTGTCCAACCTGGCCTTGAACACTGCCAGGGATGGGGCAGCCACAGCTTCTCTGGGCACCCTGTGCCAGCGCCTCACCAAAGGCTCCATTACCTGCCAGCACATCCCGTTCCCCCTGGTGGGCAGTGTGGGAGGCCTCCCGTGCTCCAACCTGTCCCTGGTGCCTGTCTCCTGGCGCAGTTCTCGCTGCTTTCGGACGTGCGCGGCGTCATCTCCCCACAAGACCTCGACCGCTTCGACAACCTGGTGCTGAAGAGGGAGATCGAGTGCATGAAGGCGCGGCAGCCCTCGGGGCCCTCCCTGGCCACCGACTCCTACTCCATGATGTCCTACAGCGACACCGTCTCCTCCTCCAGCAGCCACTTCACTGCCACCACCGTCAGCTCAGCCCGGGTGAGTCCCTGCAGCCCCCCCATATCCCTGCGGGCTGGAAAGGCATTCCACCTGCAGGAGAAATGGTGGATTCCTTCCCTGATGCATTCCCCAGAGCTTACCCGGGTGCAGCAGTGTGACCTGTAGGCGCATTGGATGGTGCCAGGACATGTGCTTGGTATCTCCGTGCTCCTGAGACTGTGACTGTCCTCTGCATGGGGGCTTGACCTGGTGCTGTCGCTTTGTCCCCTGTGCAATGCAAGCTGCATCCACACAGGGATCTCAGTGAGTTGTCCCTCTGTGCCTGCTGCTATCCACCAGCTCTGGTGCCTGAATCACCTCCTTAAAGATGTTTGCTGCCTTCTCTGCATCCTAGCAGGGACCTCGATGGCCTGGGCAAGCCCCTGCCCACTCTCCAGCACTGAGTGGCAGCTCTCCCACGTCTCCCTTCACTGCATGCACCCTCTGAGTTCCTGTAATCGCCTCCAAGTGCACGTTAATCTCCCGGCCATCAAATGCCTTTCACCATAAATGCATCAGCAACCTTGGAATTGAAAACCTTCCTGAAAGGAGCAGATGCCAAGAGGCTTTCTGCTGGTTGGGTACAAGGAAACCAGCCCATGGCCAGGGAGAGTGGGAATGTGGTGCAAAAGGTGCAGGCAAGGTGGGAGTTGGGGGCATTCCTGGGCTGTCCCTGCCTGCATTGGTCAGTCCAGCATCCCAAGAGGCCTCAGAGAGCTTCAGAGCATCAAAGCTGGGCTTTTGTCCCATTGGGCCTTGTGAAGTCATAGGAAAGCCGTGTGCTCTGTTCACAATGGGTTGCAGTGAGATGCTTTCTGGATCAAGAAAATCAAAGGTCTTGTTCCTGCTCCATGACACCAAGCGTGGCTGCTTGGCCTGGTGTGTGAGCCGTGCTCCAGCCCTGCCTGGCACGTGAGCTGAGGTCAGGGATGGAGACCAGGATGCTGTGCTGGCATAGAGAAGAGCACGTGTACACTGCTTTAAGGGCTTCCTTCAATCATCCCTCAGAGTCATAGAACAGTATGGGTGTCCCTTGGCCTCACTCCAGGTCCTCCCTGGCCATGGGGCACCTCTTTCCATGGATGTGGGAACATGCCCTGCTCCAAGCTCTGCCTGGGGTGTTGGGAATGCTGACACATGAGGTGGTTGTCGCCGCTGCTGCTGGAACAAGTGCCAAGCAGAGAGCATCACGGTGGATGGATGCTTGTCTTAGCTAGCAGGAGACATGAGGGGCAGAGCTCCCGAATGGTTTCTTCTGCCCTGATCTCTTGCTGCTCTCCCTGCCCAGCACTGGCTGCAGCTGGATGTGGATCCTGCAGGATGGGTTTGGAGGGAGGAGGGATGCCTTGTGCTGGGTTTGCTTGTCTCCCTCACTGGTCCTGCACCCCACTGATGGTCTGTTTTGCTTTTGTGCTTGTTTCAATCTGCTTCCCCCCCCCCCGCACGTCCCCAGGAGCGGCTCTTGTGGCTCATAGACCTGATGGAGGTAGGGGCTGCTGGAGCGCTGTGGTTGCCATAGCAGAGGGGATGAGTGTGTGTGTGGATGGGTGCCGGGAGGGAACAGGCTGTGCAGGGACCAGCATGTCAACAGGGACTGCATGAACAGCGCCTTGATTCATCCCTTAGCCCTGTTGAGCCATTCCAGTCCCTTTGCTCCAGCACAGCTTAAGGCCTTGGTGCTGCAGAGCACACAAGACTCAGCTCTGAGCCAGACCCAGTGTTCTGGTTGCACTGGAGCCCTGTGTGTCACTGGCAGCTCAAGGATGGGCTGATTTTAGGGCCAGCAGCATTGATGGACCCCACACTGGCCCTGCTGTTGCTGCCTGCCTCTACCTGCTGCTCTGCTGCCTTGCTGTATGGGCACCCTGGCTAAATACCAGCAGGATGGTCACATCCTGTCATAGAATCCCAGCCTGGTTGGGGTTGGGAAGGACCTTAAAGCTCATCCAGTTCCAGCCCCCTCTGGAAACAGCAGTGCTCCACAAGGGGATGCTGTGGTGTTCCCAGATGGAGTTTATCACAGGCACCCTCACTGTGGTACACAGAGTTCTTCGCCTCTGTGACAACTGAGTTGTAGCAGCAATGATCAGGTGCAAGCTGTCGATGAGAGCAGGGTGTTTGTCATTGCTCACAGGCCAGGCAGCACTTCTTGGGCACTGCCTCCTGCCCAGTCCTCGTTGTTAGCATTACCCCCAGCAAAGATACTGCCATCGGAACGTGCCTTCTCCTCCACGGGCCTTATCCCACAGGCTCTGCCTTGCTTCCAGCTCCCTGAAGTTGCAGGATTGGGCCCCAGGAGGTAACCCAGTTTTGTTGCTAAACCCTTGTCTGTCTGTGGTCTCTTTGGTCTCTGTGCCACAAGAAGTACAAGTAAGGAGAGGCTGGCACTGAGCTGTCCCTGTCCCTGGGCAGTGAATCTCAAGCACAGGAATGCACAGCCTCTTTGGCAGGTGATCTCTGTGTCCCCATAGGGAGAGCAGAACGAGAGCAGAGGAACAGGGGGCATCTTCCTCACCAATCTCCTGTTATTGCTGCTCCAGCTCCTGGTGTCCTCTGACCCCTCCAGGACAGGCACAGCCATCCCATGTGGAGGGTTCTCATGTGCTTGGCACGATCCTCTCAGGCAGCGAGGTTAGAGACAGGGTGAAGCCACCACGTGGGTGCCATTGTCACCCTCAGAGCCCCCAGAGTCAGGTCTCTGTGCTCAGGCTGGGGCAGGGAAGGGGCTCTGGGGCTCCTCCAGCCCTGTGGATCCATTCTGGGATGGGAGAGGGAAGGGGAGAGCGGAGGGGAGCTGGGCATGGGATGGTGCTGTCATTCCAAAGCAAACCCTGCAGGGTTCAGGCTGAGTGGCTCTGCAAAGATCTCATTAGCAGTAAGTGGAAAATAAGGGATTCCTTTGGAGCTGTGAAGTTAATGAAAGGTTGGGTTGTATTCCCCAGGGAGCTGGGAGCTCTTCCATCACTTAAGCAGTGAATGGAAACTGGCTGGCTGAATCAAAGATGCTGACATGCTTTCCAGCTCCATCCCTCCTGCCCTGGGCTCCGGGATAGTAAGGGCCAAGGATTTCCATCTGAGGGGCTGGAAGAGCCTCACCTGCCTCCAGTTTCCATAAGAAACTGGAAAACAGGTTGGGTAAAGGAGCAGCATCGGTGGGAGGGAGCAGCCTCCTCAATAATCACCTCTCAGAGCAGTGGCACTGTAGCTCCAATGGCTCTTCCAAGGGAAATCCAAGCAAGCTGTCTTAAAATAGCCAATGCATGAAAGCAAATGTGCTCAGCTTAAAAGCCATTGCACTGGGTAGCCCGGAGCAGTTGCTGTTGGATTGCTTTTGCTCCCCAAGTCCTCAGCGTGGGGAGAGGAGAACCTGCTGCTTGCACAGGTCAGTGCCAGTGTCCCTGGGTGCTGAGGGAGGACAGAGCCAGGGCTGGGACACAACACATGGTGGATACTGGATGGAATCAGCCTTGGCCAGAGGAAGGAGTTTTCCCAAGCTCAGGCTTCACCTGTCGCTCTCCAAACAAGCCTTTTCCTTCAGTTCTCATTCTCCAGGGCTCTCTCCGAAGCCAGGGAGCTCCAAGTACTTCCCATCGGTGGTTTTGCTGCTTCTCTAATGCTCTTCTTTGTCTCCCGTGTCTATTCTGGGATGCTGACATCTCACGGCACGGCAGCAGGCTCCAGCAGATGGGGGGATGCAGCTGCAGCAGCGGCTCAGCTGATCCCTTGTTTACCCTGCAGTGAATAACACACGGTTGAAAACAAACTGTACCCATCCCATTCCAGCGCCAGGGAGCAAACAGCCCTGGGAACACGATGGGAATGATGCGCAGCACCGCTCCGGATTGGGAAGTGCTGTGGGAGAAGGATGCTGAGCATGGATTTGCTCGTCCAGGGCCTTGCAGGGGAACCAGATGGAGCTGGGGATGGCAAAGGCAGCAGCAGAGCCTGGCTCTGGGCTAAAGTCAGGAGGAGCTGGGTTCAGCCCTGGCTGCACACCCTATGTCCTCCCATCCCTGCTGGTGCTCAGCCAAGGTGCCTGTTTGCTCTGCTTGACCACATCTGTGTCCTCTCCTTGGGTCCATCCTGCTGACAACTGCCCCTGCACAGGCAGACTGACAGATTCCCATTGCCCACCTTGCTTGCTGGAGCTGGGATGAGTTTGGAGCTGTGTTGGGACATTGCCTATTGCCTCCTAAAGGGAAAGCAGTGACAGCAGGTTCTGCTTGCATCTCACTGCTCTGGTTTGCAAGGGAGGGAGGTTTTACACTTGTCTCTTACCCTTATCCCAGCAAAGATGCAGGTATTGGACCTGCCGGGTCCAAACCGAACAGGAGGAGCTGAGGTTTGGATTAAGAGGAGCACATCCTCCTTTTGCAGGGTCACAGCATGCTCTGAGCACACTTCCTAGCTTGGGAGAGCCTGTATCCAAACAAAGCTGCTTTGCTTTGGATCCCAGCACAGTTGCTTTGCTCAGATGATGTGTGGGTCTGCAGGGAACCTCGAAGGAAACAGAACCCTTTGGGTGAAAGACTGGCCTTGCATGGGGGAGTTGGGTGAGCACCCTGCATGGTCCCCATGGGGCTGGCGCTGTGCTGGGTGCTCAGTGCTGCTCTAACCTCGTTTTCTCTTCCTCCTTTGCCCTCTCAGAACACGTCGGAGTTGGAGGGAGGTGGAGATGGCCACCAGAGCAGCATCAACACCCTGCCGGATGTCTCCCTGGTAAGGCATCAGACTGGAGATGGAGGTAAAATGGTGATGCTGAGATTTGCCTCCATTCTGTAGCTCTTTGCTTAATCAACACCCCATGGGTGTTATTGAAGCAACTTAATCAGACCGGTTTGGAAGGATTCTGGCTGGGTAGCATCTGTGTAGAGCAGAAGTTGGGTGGTTTGTGCTCCGATCACCCTCATTTGTGAGTTACGTTCCTGTCAATAAGGTCAGGAAGGTGTTTCTGTGGAAGTCAGCTCATTTCTGCCATCATCACCATGAGAAGGCAGACGGAGGTGGCTCTGAGCCTGGGGAACGTCCTAAACAGTGTCCTTGCTTTGGCAGGATGACCTCTCCTCCTTCCCAGATGAACCACCCAACTTCAAGCCTCCACCTCCTCCTTCAGCCCCGCAGATGCTTCAGGCCCCCTCCTCTGACCAGCACAGGACCCAAGGGAAGGACAAGCCCAAGCGCCCTTCCTCTGAGTCCTCCCAGTCAGGCCTCTTCTTCATGGCCCCCCGGCACCCCACGCCCCCCCCCAGTCACCCCGAGAAGGACACGGTCAGCATCACCTCCACAGCCAGCGCATCCACCGAGGAGTCAGCCCCAAGCCCCATCTATGCCACCATCTCCCCAGCCCCGCACAGCGCCAGGAGGCAGATGGATGCTCAGCTCTCCTTGGTCAGCCAGCATCACATCGGGCCCTTCCCCAGGGTCCAGTCCCCAACCAGACTGAAGAGCCTATCCCCGGAGGGGCCTGCATCTGGTGGTCTTCAGAGCCCCCCTTCCCCATCGCCTCCTCCTCCTCCATCCCACCCGGCACCCCCTCCTCCGGACAAGGGCAGCCCCCAGGCTGTGGCCAACCAGCACTTCATCATGGTGGAGGTGCACCAGCCCAACAGCGAGCCTGACGTCAATGAAGTGAGGCCCCTGCCGCAGGCCAGAGGTGGGTGATGTGTTATCAGCCATGGGGTGACAAAGTGAACCCTCTCGGGGGTGCTCCTCAAGAGAGAAGTGACAGATGTTAAGGGCAGAAAGGGGCTGGAGGGTAAGACCTGCATCAGACTGCTGGAGTGTGAGGCTTGGTTGAAGGGCTTCCCCAGTCTCAGTGGGAATGGGGGCTTCCAGCACATGCTGGTGAAGAGCTCTAGGGGAAAACATTCCCATTTTGGTTCAAACTTCTGGTCAGTAGGGTGGGGAAAGCTTCAGAGCCTGGATCAGTGCTGCCGTGCCCTGTTCTTTGGTTTGCTTTTCATCATAGATGAGTTTCATTCAGAAAACAGCTTGTGGAGTCAGAGAATCCCAGCCTGGTTTGGGTTGAAGGGACCTTAAAGCTCCTCCAGCTCCAACCCCTGCCACAGCAGGGACACCTTCCACTAGAGCAGCTTGCTCCAAGCCCCTGTGTCCAACCTGGCCTTGAACACTGCCAGGGATGGGGCAGCCACAGCTTCTCTGGGCACCCTGTGCCAGCGCCTCAGCACCCTCACAGGGAAGAGCTTGTGCCTAAGAGCTCATCTCAGTCTCCCCTCTGGCAGGTTAAAGCCATTCCCCTTGGCCTGTCCCTACATCCCTTGTCCCAAGCCCCTCTCCAGCTTTCCTGCAGCCCTTCAGGCACTGGAGCTGCTCTCAGGTCTCCCCCTTCAGGAGCCTTCTCTTCTCCAGGCTGCCCCAGCCCAGCTCTCTCAGCCTGGCTCCAGAGCAGAGCTGCTCCAGCCCTCGCAGCACCTTCAGGACGGGCCGGTCCTGCCCCCCATGGCTCTGCCTCCGCTGAGGCGGGGCTGCGGTACCCCGGCCATGTCCCGTTCCCGGCCGTGCTCGGGGAGCGGTGCCGGTGACGTTGTCGCCCTCCTGTGGCGCCGTCCTCCCACTGCAGCTCATTCACCTCGGGGCTGTGGATAGGGCCGAGGGACCCGCTCCGGGCTGAGCGGGGTCGGATTCTGCCCGCAGGGTGTCAGCGGTGTGAGCCCAGCTCCGCCAAGCCCCGGGGATGTCCCGCACCCGCTGCCCTCTCTGCGGTGCTGCCAGACCTTGCTCCTGGTGCTCATCTCCATCTGCACCCACACTTCATCCTGAGGGGAGAAAGCTCCTACCTGGCAGCTCCTCTTTGCTCGGGCCTGTCCCCATCTCCTCCCAAACCCTGGTATGGAGCATGGGCCGTCTCCAGCCTCCTCCAGCAGCATCCCTAAACCCATCACCCCCTCATTCCATCCCAGTTCAGGATTTGGGCTGGATCCTTGAGGCCCTTTGTTCCTTGGCACTCTCTGTGCACAGCGCTGCTGTTATCATAGGATCCCGGCCTGGTTTGGGTTGGAAGGGACCCCAGAGCTCCTCCAGCTCCAACCCCTGCCACGGACAGCGACACCTTCCACTAGAGCAGCTTGCTCCAAGCCCCTGTGTCCAACCTGGCCTTGAACACTGCCAGGGATGGGGCAGCCACAGCTTCTCTGGGCACCCTGTGCCAGCGCCTCAGCACCCTCACAGGGAAGAGCTTCTGCCTTAGATCTAACCTGAACTTCCCCTGTTCCAGTCTGAACCCATCACCCTTTGTCCCATTGCTACAGCTCCTGATGAAGAGCCCTCTCCAGCATCCTTGTAGCCCCCTTCAGACACTGGAAGCTTGGGAACGTCCCTCCAAAGTCCAGGTCTAAATCCCAAGGGCCCTGCCCAGTGCTGGGAGCGGTTGGGATGTCCCTGCCCTGGGGACATCCTAACCCCACAACCTGCCTGGTGTCCCGCAGCCTCCACGCTGTCGCAGCTCTCGGACAGCGGGCAGACGCTGAGCGAGGACAGTGGGGTGGACATCGGCGACGTGGAGCTGAGCAGCAGGGACAAGGGCCAGCAGCTCCTCTCTGGGAAGAGCCGAAGCCTTCAGGAGCCCGGAGCAGTGATGGGGCAGCAGAAGGAGCCTCCAAGCCGGTGAGGGTGGGTGCCCGTGGATGCTGGTGCAGGTGGTGGGAGGTGGGCATCGGGGTTGCCCCTGCCGTAGGCAGCACCCGCTCTTCTGTGCTTCCATGCACAGACATGCACATGGAATGTCGGGAGTCAAAGAGCATCTGCAGGTGGTCTGTCTGTGCCTCTCCTGTGAGCCTTCTTGGGGTGACCCTGCTTGTCTTGGGGTGACCCTGGGCAGGATGGGAAGGGACAAGGGTGCCTAGTGGGGTGCTGGCAACGGCAGGTGGGAGCACAGCAGCCATGGGGAAAACCACCCCATCCCCAGGGTAGAAGCCTCCGTCTCCATCCCATCCCTGTCCCCTGCCAGGGGCATCCTTGGGATTGGGGATGCTCCATTCCATCCCCAACCCATCCCAATTCGATCCATATCCCACTGCCTGCTAGGGCCATCCTGGGGACTGGGGATGCTCCATCCCACCCCATGGGTCCTGGTCCCCCTCAGCAGCACTGCCCATCTCTCCCCAGCCAGGGCTGCTGGAGCCCACATCGTGCCTGATCCGTGTATCCAAGAGTGCTCCGACCCTGGGCATCGCCATCGAGGGGGAGCGAACACGCGGCAGCCGCTGCCCCGCATCGTCACCATCCAGGTAGGACTCAGTGCACATCCTGCACATCCCTCTTCTCCCAAGCACCCTCTGGGGAAGGAATTGTTCCTCAGTTCCATCTAAACCTCCCCTGGCACAGCTTGAGGCTGTTTCCTCTTGTCCCATCCCTTGTTCCTTGGGAGAAGGGGGGATTTTGGAGGTGTGCTTCCCCCCAGAGCATCTTCCCTTGCCGTCAGCATCATTCTGCTGCAGGGGAGGTGCTGAGGGTTGCATTGGTGTCCCATGGAGCATCCCATATCGTAGAGCATGGCCTGGGAGCTAAGGGTTTGCTGTGGGATCCAGAGGGGGTCTGGCAGCCCCGAAAGCTTGGCTCTGGTGTCTCCAGATGGCTGGAAGCTCCCTTTTCCTGCTCAGATAGAGGGCTGGGAGAGGGGGAATGGTGGGGGACAGCTGGGGTGGATGCATGGCTGGGAACAGCAGCTTCCTCTCCTGCTCACTTGGGGCAAAACTCAAGTCACTGACAGCAAAGCAAAGCAGAGCCAACTCCACCTTGGTTCTTCTTGGCCATTCCACTGGGACAAGCAAAACGGGAGCCAAATTTATCCCCTCTTTCGGAAACATGAAATGTTTCTCATTTCCCCCCCAAAACATCCCTGGGATGGGGGATGGGATCAGGATCTCTCCACCTCTATCCTGCAGCGCGGGGGCTCAGCACACAAACTGTGGGAAGCTGAAGGTGGGCCACGTCATCCTGGAGGTGAACGGCACGGGGCTGCGGGGCAAGGAGCACCGGGAAGCCGCCCGCATCATCGCCGAGGCCTTTAAGCTGAAGGAAAAGGACTACATTGATTTCTTGGTCACAGAATTCAACGTCGCCCTTTAGGGATCCAGGCTTTGGGATGGGGAGCATCCCGAATAGGAGCGGAAGGCAGCGCCGAGGCGGGAAAGCTGCATTCCCACCCCGCGGAGCCTCTCCCGCTGCGCCATCCCGCACGCACAGACACCCCCCAGCTTGTCCCCAAGTGTCCCCTCTCCTGCTGCAGACTCATGCCTGGGTAGGGCAGGCTGCGAACGGGCAGAAATCAGTGCACATCCCATAATGTCTCTTGGATCGGGGTGGGGGGCGCTGCCCTTTGGGGAGTATCCTGTGGTTCTCCAGGGTGGGAGTGGGGCAGGAGGGCAGGGGAAGGTCCGGGTGTCCCCGCTGCCATGTGAGTGCCACACAAAGCACAAGGTGGGCTCCCGGCTCAGGCTGGTGGGGGTTTGGGTGGTCCCTGCTCCCTCGGGTGCTGGCCCAGGCGGGTGGCACAGCCCATAGGTGGGGATGCAGAGGGAGCAACCGGAGGCCTTGTAAATCGCTGGCAGAGTCCTTGTGTTTCTATAGACAGAGCTTGTGCTTTAATTTTTCAATAAACCAATCAGGATAGACAAAGGCTGGGATTGCGGGATTCCTCCGGGCTGGAAAAGGGGGGCAGGAAGGGAATGGACAGGGGTGGCTATGGCGTGCTGGCAAGGGCAGGTGGGAGTGTGGCAGCCATAGAGAAAACTGCCCCATCCCCAGAAAGGGGTGCTCCCTCCCCATCTCCTGCCAAGGGCCATCCCAGCCATTGGGGGTGCTCCCATCCCATCTCATCCCTGTCCGGGCCATGCTGGGAAATAGGATGCTCCATCCTATCCCTATACCTATCCCACCCCTGCCCGGGCCATCCCAGGCATTGCGGGTGCTCCATCCCATCCCTTCCCATTGCCATCCTCATCCCCTCCAGAGCCGTCCCGGGGCGGGTGCAGGAGTTCCCCACCAGGGGGTGCCGGCGCTGCATAAATTATGATAATGACAGCCCCTCTGATTGGTCTCCGCCGCTGGCTATGCAAATACAGGGGAGGGGCGGGGTTTATGCTAACGACTTCCCAGTTCTTGCTCTGCGGCGCTCTCCGATTGGCGGGTAGCCGCCGATATGCTAATAAGGGCGGAGGCCCCGCCCCGCCGCCGCCGGCGGCCCGCGCTATTGTCCCGCGGGGCGGGGCAGGGGGGAACGGCGGCGGGACCGGGGCCGGGGCCGTGATCGCGATCGTGGTCGCGATAGGGATCGCGGTGCGGAGCCGCCCCGCATCGGCGAGGAGCCGGCGGCCGGGCCCTCCCTGCAGGTGAGCAGCCGCGGGGCAGCTGTTGTGCGCGGGGGCGGTGGTGCTCCTCCAGCGGTGCCCAGATGTGCTCCCCACATGTGTTCGGGGGGGCCGGGGCAGGGCGATGGGGCTGGCGCCGCTGCTCGATGTGCTCGCTCTGATCCCTGCAAGGCTCCTTCCGCAGCTGGAGGGAAAGAGAGGACCCCCGGGCACCGCTGGGATCACAGCGGGATGCGCAGCTGGGGGCCGCGGGGATGGGCCCATCCCGGGGGGGCCGCATCCTGGAGTCCTCGGCGCTCCTGAGCCCGGCTTAGGGGTCCCTGGGCGGAGCGGGGGATCCCAAGCCGAGGGGATGCACCCGGAGAGTGCGGGTCATGCCTAGTGCGAGGTGTCCTTGCCCGTGGCAGGGGTTGGGACTGGATGGGCTTTAGGGTCCCTTCCAACCCAAACCAGGCTGGGATTTCGTGCCGCTGCGCCGCTTCTGCCCACGTTGTCCCCAGGCCACCGGAGCCTTGGGGGCCCTTGGGAAACTTGTCAGAACTCTTCTTATTCCGGTGCTGCCTCCCCGCCCAGGGCTGGCTCTGCCGCCCGCAGGGTTCCGGAGCCTTGCGGAGGGTTTCATCAGGCTGCGAAGGGCGGCGCGGAGCCATGGCCGGGGCTCACTCGCACGGAGGCTGCGGGATGCGAGGCCGTGCCGCTGCCTGCGGCTCCTGCGAGGAAGTGGCCGCTGCCTCCAGCTTCAGTTCCTTGTTTTACTTAAAGGGCGGCTCTGTTCGGGGGGGTGCCGGCAGCGGGGCCCGGGTTTCTGTGGCTCTGCAGCAGCCATCCGGGCTGCCCATGGATGTTTAAAGGACCCCTTGGAGAGCGCCCAAATCCAGCTAATACGGGATCTCTGCTGCCGGCTCTTTCCAGACAGGGATTAAGGCCGCCCTTTGCAAGGCATTACTGCCATCAGCAGCCCCCAGCTCCTGTATATAAGGAGAGGTTCAGCCCTGGATCTTGCCGGGCTATGCCATGGGGACAAGGCTGTTCCTATTGAGGACAGGACCGTGTGTTGGGGACAGGAGGGTTCGTGGAGCAGGCAGGAGGTGGGAAAGAACCGCGGGGCTTTGCTTCTGTGGAAGTGATGGAGAGATGCTGTTTCCACAGGGATTTGGTGCCTCTCCGTGGGGAATCTGCTGGTGTGGAGGAGCTGGAGGGGTATGGCCCCTCCAGGCAGAGGAATGGGGTGACCCATGGGGTTTAGAGCGGTGGTGCAGTAACAGGCACATGTGCTTTCAGAGGACAGAGAGGGTTTGTGAGGCTCTTCCTCACTAGGATGGATTCTCCCATACTAAGCAAGCAGCCTCTCTGCCCTCTTTCATGCTCATAAACCAGGAATGAACTTGGAAAGGGTTTTTAAACCAGGAATTCCTCCCTCCTGGAGTGCCCAACTTCATCCTGAGGCTGTTGTTCTGGCTTCCTTCAACCCACCAACGGAGATGCTTTGGGGGGCAGCATGGATGTGTCTTAGATAAAAAGGGAGCTGAGGAGGGGAAGGGGAGCATGGAGGTGGCCAAAGGAGACCCGTGGGAGGTTGAATGCTGTCTGGAATTGAGTTTTGGATGGGAATGGGTGGTTTAGGAGACTAAAATAGCCATTGCTTGCCTTGGGGGGAGGAGGTAAAGCCTGTTTTGGGGTTCAACAGGGGGCTTTAACCCCCTCCTAGAGCAAGGGATGTCTATTTTAGGGCATAGGGATTATCATTCCCCATTGCCATGTGGATGGAAGTGGGCATTAGCACCCCCCAATCCCATCCGCACCACCCAGGGTTGACAAGGCAGCAAAGGCAGAGTGACAGCCCTGTCTCCCCCCTTCCATGGCACCGAGCAAGCCCCGGGGCTGAGGATGTGACAGTCTCCTCGGCTTGTCACCACTAATGAAGCCAGGAGCCCTGATGGGGCTGTGTGCCCTGCATCACACATAGAATGAGTTGGGATGTCTCAGCCTTCATCAGTCCCATGGGATTGGAGTGGTGGAGGTTGAAGATGCCTAAAGAGGAGCAGGCATTAAGAGGTGAGGGCAGGGATGGGCAGAGGTAACCCCTCCTGCCTGCTGGGTGTGCTGAGACCTGGCAGCACTCAGCACTTCCAGTGCCTCAAGGGGCGACAGGGAAGCTGGAGAGGGGCTTGGGACAAGGGCCTGTAGGGACAGGCCAAGGGGAATGGCTTTAACCTGCCCGAGGGGAGACTGAGCTGAGCTCTTAGGCACAAGCTCTTCCCTGGGAGGGTGCTGAGGCGCTGGCACAGGGTGCCCAGAGAAGCTGTGGCTGCCCCATCCCTGGCAGTGTTCAAGGCCAGGTTGGACACAGGGGCTTGGAGCAAGCTGCTCTAGTGGAAGGTGTCCCTGCCCGTGGCAGGGGTTGGAGCTGGAGGAGCTCTGGGGTCCCTTCCAACCCAAACCAGGCCGGGATTCTGTGATCACCCTATTGCAAAATCCTGGCTTTCCCAGAGCAAGATACACAAACAAACACGCTTGGATTGTTTGCATTCACTTTGTGGCTCCTGACAACACTTGTCCGCCTTTTCTGTTACCATAACAGCGCCCAACAAGATCCAAGTTTTCTCCCTTCCCGCTGTGACCATTGGTGGAGGCGCTGCCTGGGCTAGTGATGAGCGTGGCTGGATTTGCCAGCAGACCCTGCCGCCTGTGGCTGTTGCGGGCAGAGCAGCTCCGGGGACGGGTTGGGGATGGGGTGGAGAATGGGGTGACATGATCCAGGCACCAGCCTGGTGTGTGGGTAGGGCATGATCCAGGCACCAGCCTGCCAAAACCAGGTAGGAAACAGTTTAACCCTCTTTGCCCTGAGACAACAGCACCCACCAGCTCCTTTCACTCCTCCCCCCCCAGCTGGTGTTTTGGCTCA